TTGGTTAACGAGTAGAGTTAACCAGCTATTAAGAGCGTCCCTAAATTTTGAATAACACCGCAGTACAAAATACACCGAAACATTTCGGTCCGACGCGCGCAGAGAGAGTTGCAGCATCTTGCGCTGCACATAACTAAAACCGTAACTCCACAAGTCCCCAGCGAAACGTAACGTATACCTGCTTGCATGTGTGTGTACGCTCTTTCAGCGCGCACATGCTCAGGCTGGAGCGGCAGGCCAGGGACGACTGGAATACAGAGCAGGAAGAAGGGCCGCTGCACGCGGGTAACAAACTCCCCGCACGTGGACCGCCTTTAAGCGCAAATAATGCATGACCCCGCAGCTATTTCAAACTGCTCGGCCGACCTCGATGTTTCTTAATTACCCACCTCGCTACATTTTTCATTGGACAAAGGAGTTTTCCTGCATACCCCCTCCCTACCAGCCGTCAAGTCCCGAGACACGTAGTATATAATGCGCGCTCTGCAAGAGACGTCGAGGGGCCGATCCCCCGAAAGCTCGTTAGAGGCTCGGTTAATCAGGTCCCTCGGCGAGATCGCGATGACGAGGCGTCGTATTTGGTAATAGGGGTGTATATATATGTTTGGTGCTGTATAGTGCCGAGCGATTTTGCAGGCGCCGACTAGCTGAGCTCTCTTTCGGCGTCAAATCGAGCTAGTGAATGAGCCGTGAGCTGCTGCCGTTGTTGTACGCCCGGCCTCTGCTTTGGACTTGCTTCCGAGTTTTCTTGCTGTCGCTCAGCCTTGCGAGGTTTCGTTAACGAGGGTTCGCGGTTTCACGACATTTTGCCTTTTTCCCGGGACATTGACGAGTTTTACAAGGTTACTCGCCGTTAACTCAGTGACGCGATCACGCGATGCCAACGTGTTATTCTTACCGTACGGAACACTCTCAGTTGTGTCGTTTGCTCACTTGTGGAAAAAAAAAAGTTTTTTCGGTAACACCAAGGGTAAGTACACTGAGTTATGGCTACAGTGTACCCAAGTAATACGAGGAAGGATGGGAAGAGTGCCGCCTCCTATTTCGTGCGTAAAAAGGGGACGAGCGCGCTTTCGAGGGAAATTCCATTTGCATTTTCCCGAAGCCCCCCGGGGCGAAAATTATCGGGAAAGATAATTCACTTGTCTCGGGGCTTCTTTTTCTCCTCGTTGGCCCAGAGTTATTTTTCCACGCAAGAATAACAAACTCGATCTTTATGCACCGAAAGTTTGCCCGACGTGCCTTTCGTCGTCAACGTTTTGTACCACTCCCGGCTTACTTTATTTCGTCGACGTACGTGTGGGGCTCTCTACTGCATTATCTTTCGCCGGGATGATAATCAAGTTTATTTAGAAATTCATTTGCCCATCGATTGGATTAATAACAACTATTCTCGCGTTGTTCCGTGAACCAATTGTTATCATTTTTTTTTTTTCATTTGCGATGTTAATCTCATTCCAAAATAGAGTTGGGTTTGTAGAGAAAAATACGGACTTTTATTTCAAAACTCAAGTACGATGAAAGCCAATGAAATGAATTTTGATTAAAAATGATTGGTTTTATTCGTTAGAGTAAAAGAGGTGGCCTTGGACTATGATCAATATCCATACCTTCGTACACACTCGATTAATCATCAAAGACTACATTCCAAAAGAATAAAAAATTTAAAATAAAAAATGAAATTCCGATAGAAATAAAAAACAACGGTATCCTACTTTACGCATTTATCGAGGGCAAACGATAAATAGAGCAATTTTGCACATGCATGTATCACGTATATAGGAACATGGTAACAGCGTAAAACCAAGCTAATTTATAGCCCGATCGTAGAGGGGCATTATTAAATTTTGCAAAACATGTAGGGGGTGGAAGGTTCTCCCTGCGCGCGACTCTTCGCGATCACGGCGAAAAAGGAATTTCAATGGGTTCGAGGTAGCGAAAAATCGATACAGGAACGGGGGGCGCGCCAAACTGCCTCAGGGGAGCTTTCGAGCTGCTCCGTTTCTCCCACCTGCCGTACAGGTGCCGTTTGTCAATTAACTTATAACGCGATTGCTCCGTTACCAAAGCTGTAAATTTATCGCTCGGACTTTATCTTTGCGTTTTCTGATCTTCCACGCCTGCCCTGATCATTTGAGCCCCCCCTTTTTCCGACTCCACGTGTTTCCATGGATACGCGTGCCACATAGTGATTAATGGTCCAAATTTTTCTGTCGAAAATGCAAATAGTAGTCGGTCCCGCGAAATCATCTACTGGAATAATCTGATTTATGTGATTTTCAAATCTGTGTCTATACAGTTTTCGGCCAAAAAAGATGGTAATCCGGTTACATTGGGGCTTTAATTTTTGATGAGTGTTTCGTTTTACACTATGTATGAAAATCATTATGTATAATAAAACAGATCAAAACAAGTTCAAAGTAAGAATTGAAGCACACACATTTCACTTCATGACCATAGACAAACAAAGGGTCCATATATTGTGCGGCTCATCGTTATACGTTTACTTGCACCACCGACATCGCTTACACACAACATCAACCTGTCGATCAGCCCTCAAAGTGTAGTCAAAAGCCCCAGCACCGCGAGCACCGTGAGTGTGCCACAATTTATGATGATCACGATGACAAGGCACCTACAGTATCTACACCCAAAGATGTAACAATGGAGCCGAAGCGAAGCGCGAAATTCATCAAAAGTCTCGCCCCGTCGGCAGCGCTTACGGCTGCTCTTCCCTTTTATCCTACGACCCTTTGATACCTACCGTCTGCACCAGAAAAGCCCTCAACCCACCCTCCCCGTGCCCATAGTGAGCGTGAACCTTCCCCTGGCCGAGTTAATTCAACGCGTAAACTTCAACAGGAGGTGGCTGTGCACACAGGTGGATGTAGGAAACACTCGAGTCCGTGATGTAGTCGAGGTTTTTCGGTCGAATCGTATGACTTTTGCCGTCGAGTAATTACAGTTTTAACAGTGGAGTCGATTATTAGATCAGTCCTTTTGAAAAGGCGAAAATCCACCGATCGACTCGCCGAGCCCGGGGCCAAAGTTACGCGCCAGCCCTGTGACCGTGCGAGCAAAGTTCGTCCCCCCAAGAGGAAAACAAAGGGTTCCGAATCGCCGGATCGACTGGTTGCTTGCACGCGAGCATATTGCACGTCCCTCGGTCTGTCGTTGTCCAACAAAGTTTTACCACCCGATGTATTTCCAGCGCAGGGTCTCCAAAGTAGGCAAGGTGAATCCGGAAATTACTCCACTCCGGCCAACAGCTCGGATCTCTAATGACCACGTGCGATGGGCCCTTTGTTTCGACCGGCACACCGGTATCGGGTACTCCCGGCTTGCCCCCTTCGTTCCCCTCTTTCTCCAGCTGGCCGGTGGCAGGCGAATCAGCATGGCAATTAAGTGGTGAGCATTGATTAAACGTACTTTGGAAATTTACGACCCGGCGTCAGGGGAGTGAATTGTGGTGACGCGCACCGGGTAAGCGATTCGCCAAACGATCTGGCCGATGGGCCGCGTGGAAAAACGGCGATATTGTCCCTTGAACCGAATCACACGAATAGAGACATACGAGCCCCCTTTTCGTATGGATCGCGATTGTTATCGAACATTGGCTAGTGCTCATAGTATTGCGTATCGATCAGCCCAGTCGAGCACTCAAAGTTCCACTATCCGCATCCTCCAGCCCTTCCTTTGACAGCATAACGACAACGCGCGACTTGAGCTTGACTCGAGCGCGAGGCTTTGACATTTTACTCTTCAAAGTCCTTTGGCTTGGGGAGTAAAAAAAAAAAAAAAAAAAGTACTAGAGAGCAAGTCAAGAAGTGCATCGCTGTACGACCGTGGATCTTACAAGAACAGGATGCAAATCAGAAGCCCACGAGAAACGATGAGAAGCTGGCCAGGCGAGAGAACACCGTCTTGTCGTGACTTTGCGAGTATTAAGCGAGCATTGTATGCTCATATGACTAACGAAAGTTACAAGCCGAGAGCCGTGCAAAGGGTACGCGAAGGACAGACAGGGGATGCTTGGTAGAACGGGAGAGAGGAGAGAGGGAAAGGGGTGATCTAGACAAATGACTGTGGTGGTCAGAGCAAGGTTGGCGGCTCGGGGCTATATCCTACATGACGTGGGCGCGGGATCCGCTCTCCTCTCGTTCGATAGTGGTCTTCCCCGCAAGGGATGCCAATGCGCGCGACGTAGACCTGACGTCGTTATCTCCCTGCCGAGACGCCGCCGCTGCTGCCTCCGTTCAGCCGCTGAGATGAGACAACTGCTCTCCCGGGCGATCTTATCCGATGGATGGTACAGCGCTGTCGGAGGATAAGGCGATGGTGGTGGCTCCTCAAACGGGCGCATATCAATCACCCTCGAGTCATCAGTCATCCCGCTACTAGCGCTGCGCCCCTCCGAGCGTCGTATACTCTTATACTCGAGTTTTCGCGTCTCACTATTTAGTATTTACGATCGAAGCAATGCTTGGAGTCGCTGATAAACTGATAGTATTGAAAATCACGAGTCGGTGCTATTATAATATGCTATAAAGGGATGAGTTGTCAATAATTTTTTCAGCTTTTGTGTAACAAAAATACAAGTGTTTGGATATAATGCTCTGGTGTCTACAGACACGGCTCGTTTCAGGGCTTCTCTGGCAACCTCACTTGAAATTTATCATTTTTTTTTTAAGACAGCGCAGTTTACTTGTGGCTTTAATAAAAGCTTTTTATGCCTCTCTATCGGTAACTATATATAACACCTCTATTGAATATACACTGTAAGACTAGATTTTTAACAGTAATCAGTCGAGGAGCGTACAGAAATCTTATACAATACCGTTAAATGCAATTCTCAGATTTAATTGCTATTTATATCTGAACGAGTGTTTATGTGCTTATTTTTTTTATCACTTTACACCACTAAATTCTGTGTTTAAGTTATGAATTGTCATTGAATATTTTTCTTTTTCTGTTTCAGGTAAGGCTATTGGCTTTTGAGTGGTGCTCATTTGCAGGGTGTAAAACAATGGTTACGTAAGTATGACGGTACATAAAAGTAGGTCACAAGAGAAATTTCCCAGTTTTTTTTTTTCATTTACATTAGTTTTGCTTTCACAATAAGCAAGGACATGCTAATGTTAAATTTGTGATTTATTAAAATATAATATTATTGGATTAAAGGTGTTTGCAAGCACGGCTTTAACATAATTAATTGGTAATATGAAACTGATTGTACTTTTTAATGGAATTCGCGTGGATAATCAATCACAGATATTTCCGTTGATTTATTCAAGTCCACGAACGTCGCATAAAGAGGCGGCCGAGGGGCGGGGGTGGGTCTCCCGCTGCCAAAATACAATTATGAATGCAAAAATGGAAATCCACGCCCCTCCACTCGAAATACCCAATTCGTACGGCGCTGCTTTTAAATGTTAAAGCGAAACCAGTCATGAATATTCATTTTTCCCGAAATTACACGCATCGACGTAAAGCCAGGGCTGTGCGCTCGGATATAAAAATAAGCGCGGAAAATTTTCAAACAGCACGCACAAGCGCTGCTCTCCCTCGGGACAGTTGTGCGCGTAATACTTTTCGGGCGCGTGATTGCCCTGTTGTGGGGATATATGTGTTTGTGCTCGCGCGGGCAACGGAGTCCAGGGACGCGAGCTATATTTTATAGTGGCGATCGTTGCGAGCCCAATTGTTTTTGGTTTGATGAAAAATCTGCGTTCCCTTGTTTACCCGAACCGTCGATGTTTAGGGATGTGCTTGAAATTTTTCAACCAACGTATCACAAAGATATCCACTAAATGCCACCGTCAATGTACATTGCCTTTTCGACGTACCTCCGGCCGATTTAGTTTGAAAACTTCAACGCGCCTTGAAAATTCAATTGGGCATGACCTTGCGTGTAGGATTGAGATTCATTTATTGGTACAACATATACTCCTAAATATCTAACGCACCTTCCCGATTTAAAGTATGCGATTGCTTTATTGGCTGTAACTAAATTAGGTAACATTTATCGATTCGTACCTTTGAAGATTTCATCATTTTCTCACTGAATATCCATTGAAAGGTCTAGTTGTATGAAATTCAGTAAAAAAAGCTGTGAGATTAAATATATTCACACAAATAGAAGACCGAAACTAGCACTTTTTTCCAAGTAAACGAAAAATGTAGCGTGTAACGACAAGGTAATCCGGTGCGAAACTATCCGTGCACCCTCGTGAGTAAGTTAAGCGCCCGCGCCCAGCTGCAAAGTGCAAAATAAATTTACGAGCCAAATGCGTGCATGCAAATTTTTTTCGATGTTACAGAGACGGTGGTGCGGCCTCGTTACACCCATGCACATTTTTTAACTTCACGACACGGCGTGCCATCTCGAATAAGTGCATGCTGCCGTGGCTCGGCCAATTTCGTGCAGGGCATACAACTTATGCAGATTGCACACGCGCGAAAAGGGGACAGCGTTTTCCTGGCTGATTTCCGTCTCATCTTTATACTTCCTGGCATCCCGTGTATAACGAAAATAAGCTCGCCTTTGGCAGACATCCATCGCTACATCAGTTTTCATTTTTCTTTTATATTGTGCACCATATATATATATATATATATATAAGGAGTAGTACGAATAGAAAGACATACGAAAGCACCGTTTTATTCATTAAAGTTCGATGAATGGATCAACGAAATGAAAACAACGCAACCCCAATCAAAGTATGTCGGTATTCGATAAGTGATCCAACAAGTTTGTATCAAAATTTGAACTGCACGTGATGTAATTTCAAGTAATGATTTCTTTAATTTTATCACTTGATTTTCCGATACGTAGGTGTGCCAAAGTGGCCTTGTCGCGGGGACCACGCATTCAGTAGAATATCGTCCTTTTCTTTCTTCGTGTTCATTGCATAAGCACTTCACACCGACAGTATAAACACATACTGTTGTATGAATTACCATGTTAATGAAATACATTATGGTGCAGGAAAGTAGAACAAAGCGCGTATGTATTCATGTTTCGTGTTAAGCTGATCGAGTTCCAAGGCTTGTCCATAAAAAAGGTCGTTAAAAAGACCGTAAAAAAGGGTGGGGAGGGTATAAGTAACGGCAGTTACGTTAGTTCAGACATGTAATTCAATTGCAGGAAAAAAGGCTCGGCCCCGGGAAACAAACAGCCAACTAAAAACCGTGTTAAAGTAACGAAGAGACGTACTTAGATGGGGCAAGAGAAAAGTCGAGACTGCTGGTAGAAATCGACGTTTGTGGTGTAGCACGGGAAGATGGGTGAGCAAAGGGGAAGATGCAGGCTAGACCAGGACACCGCTGAACGTCGTAACTGACTTTCAACTGTTAATCCTATCAAAAAGTTAGACGTGGCGCCGGCCCTGCATGTTTACTCCCTCTTCGTTTCGTTATGGACGACCCCCCCATTCTCTCCGTCAGTCAAGGTACTGCACGTGCACTGGTATATCCGCACAATCTACGCTTTTCTATCATGGAGCTCTCGAACACTACTGGGCCCACCAAGCTCTTTCAGCACGTAACTTTTCTCTTGTACACATAGGGTATCTGTCCCAGTTATGGACCCTGTCCCTATCGTGGACCCATTATCACATTATTAATGATAAGTTAAGCGAGTGTTTTAATAGCACAATGAATTATTTTTTAAGTTGTTATTTTCTCTCTAATTCACCATAATAATGACAAATAATAGCATTTAAATAATGTTATATCATTAAAATAATATATTGAAAAGTTACACAACGCTTTTGACTATTTTCTTCATCATGCCTTGTTGAAAACCGTAAGATACTCATATTTTTGAAATGCTGTATAAAAAATTAGGAGTATTAATTGAACTCGAAAAATTGTTTAATATATCAATAAGAGTTTCAGAAAAATAATAAAAACAAATTATACTCCTAAAAAGTTTATTTATATACATTATTAGAGGGTCCACAATACAGCCATGATTATCGGCTCTGTTTCTATTATGGACCCTTTATTCCGCCAGTATTGAGTGCACACATAACCTTCAACTTCATAACTTCGAGCTGTTGTTTTCATTCTAAAAGTAAAGAAAGAACAACAAAAAATGCCTCTTAAAAAACGCACCAAGAAAACTAAACAACCATAACAAAGTCATCAAAAATGTACGATTATTATAATAAAAAAAAGTAATAGTAATTATCACAAAATTAGTTTTCTATAAAAATTTGTTCTTAAAAACTTATCTCAAAAAGTGCCTAGTCATATATTCTGTTAAAAGTGTGAGAAGTACTTATAAATAAATCTCAAATGTTTATTTAATTACATACAAATATTTTTTTACATTATGGACAGGGTCCACAATTGGGGGGTCCACGATAGGTTAAAAGTCCATCGAGGGGGTCCGTAATACGAACAAAATTTTTTTTTCTTGTTTCATCATTAAAATAAAAATAACAAAACTTTTTGATAAAAAAAAAATTTGATGTTGTTAAAAAAGAAATCAAACAACTTATACGTTACTATACAAGGTGTAGTTCTATTGACCGTTAGACACAAAATAAAGTTGAGCTCGAAATTTTTCTTAAAGGGTCCATAATTGGGACAGATACCCCTAGTTACATCTAATGTGTGGGCACCTTTAAGAGAACCTGCACAGTGATACTTTGGCTATTGTGTACACGCATTAAATATGGTAAGAGCCTAGCTCAGCTTCGGTGAGAGCCCCCAGTTGTGTTCCCTGTACTTTGGCCATCCGTGGTCTCCGGCTGTGATCTCAACCACCGCGGATGATGATTTTTTATTTTTTCTCTCGAGTCGAAATGCCGGCTTAAATATTATTGTTCAACTTTTTAAATGCACGTTGGATCATTAAAATTCAGGTGATTATGTACAGAGACTTGGGCAAGAACGGGATAGGGTTATTTCTTCATGAATATCAAAATTTTTTTAGTAGCTCCCATTGAAGTTTCCTGTGGACACTCGTTATTTCGTTCCTACTTAAGATAGTACAGCCGGGCTGTCGCTTTTGCATTAATTATTTTTTCCCGTCATATGGTAATTTACGGGTCGTTTGCATTTAGTGCTCCATTTTCCGATGATTTACGCTTTTAATTATTCGCCCCTCTCACGACTTGGCTTAGAAAATGTTCTCAGAGGAATAAGTCGCAGTTTGAGCAGTCTTAAATTAAAAATTTCCAAGTCCTTTGTGATGCACAAAAGTACTGGAACGATAGAAACAGACAGTACCGCACAATCGGATTTTCTACTTGCATGGATAGCGTTGACCTGTTTTGTGAGTGTTTTCCATGGTGCACGAAACAGCGTACTACTTCTATAATAGATAAAAAATATTTAAACGTTTTCACGATGGACTTGAAACATATAGGTTTGGTCATCAAATTCCTCCAAGCTCGTGATCCCAGCGTACGATCTACAACATCAAATATCCTTGTACCTATGCGAGTTAAAACATCCCCGTTGAATTTAAATTTCCAAAGCAACGACGTTCCATCCACCTCAATTACCTAAGCGGCTGTGGCTCTTCGTCTAAATTTGAAATTCAAATATGGACAACGCAAAAATCATGACAATGTCCCTGCTGCTGATATAAAGCTCGTCCCTGGCTTCGTCCTCCCCTCGAGTGCTGGAGCATCGATAGAGAAATTTCAACCGGAGCAAAAGACGCGTTGACAAATGTCGTTTCTTACGCTTCGAGACGTGAGTCATCGTAGTGTAACAACTCCGCGTCCCCACCACTACACCCATACCTTCTATTTCGTTGACAAAGAAAATTAACGAATCGCGAAAATTGCTGTGCGATCATTGCAACCCTTCGGTGCGCATATTTATAGGCAAAAATAGGCCTTGCGAGCGCCACGAAATTTTTACCGAATGCTCTTATGCATGTCGGCAGGAGGGATTTCGCGCCCGGATTTGACTATTCATCATTCGAGGAAGCATTCCAAGCAGAAAAAAGGGAGAAATACATGAGGAACGTGAAACTTTGTAGCTATGTCATCCTGTCATACTGCTGTGTTACT